GTGGTGTTCAGTGACCGTTAGTAAATGATTATTTGTAGATCGCGAGATGCGGTCTGATGTGACGTAGTAGGTTATAGAAAGAGAGTGTGTGTGTGGGTGTGTGTGTGTGAGAGAGAGAGAGAGAGAGAGGGGAGGGGGTGAAAGAGAGTGTGTGTGAGTGAGGGGTGAGAGAGGGAAAGAAAGAGTGAGAGAGAGAGTGAGTGAGTGATAGAAATGTTTTAGGCTTTTCGCTTACTTTTCTTTTGTACTACTTTACGTATTAGCGATTATTCGGAGATCGTGAGATGCGGTCTGGTGTGACGTAGGTTTTAAAAAAACATTTTCTTTATCGTGCCAACGTTTCGATCTTTATTGAGAACATCTTTAGGGCCTTGTGTAGTCTCTATTTCAACAAAAAAGTTCTCTTGCAGAAATGCAAATAATCATTATTAACTTATATGAATTGGGAAATTTTCTCACACCCGCCACACTCTCCAGACATTTCATTTTGTGACTACTGTTCATGTCGATCATTGCAACATTTTTTAAATAAAGATCTTGGGTCAAATTGTGACTAAGCAACTATTATAATATAGGATTTGAGTTATTTCTCTGCAAATTCTTGACCTTCTGAACTGAAAATTTTGATCGTTTCTTCTTCCACGATTATTCAAAAGATTATTGCATCCTTGGAGCAAATTTGATTGGTTAATCCACAGTCTTATTTTCCTTTGTTTATTTTTTCCGTTTTTGCTAATTTAAACCATCACGATGTCTGGTGAAGTATACGATTGTAAACTTATTGTTTATTGTTTTATTAGTATATTTTGGATCAAACCTTAATGATCAACAAAATGAATAAAAGAACAATAAATAAATACATGCCACAACAAGAAATTAACATAAATTACAGCAAGTTTACAAAAATTAAATCAAATTGAAAGTCTGTATAAAAACGATTAAAGATAATAATAACTGAACGTAAGATTGAACTATATTAATGCCTATGAAAAAAAAAAAAAGAAGAGAAGAAAGCGCAACATCTTGTAAGATCTGGTTAAAATGTAAACTGAATAAATAATTATACAATTTAGACTTAATCTAAATGTTTTTTCATACTAATTTGAAACGATTTTTGAAATGTCTTGGCACTAGGTAAAAATTGGTGAATGGTACGGTAGGAAATAGATGAAATCGTAAATTTACAGAAAAGGTAGGATGGAGGTTGAGTTTTAATAAGATTAAACAAGGTAGGTATGTAGAGTTTTAAGCCAGTTTAAAGCTTTATGGTGGGGTGTAATATGTTCTCTTTTCTCGAATCATAAATAGATCATACACAGCAGTTCATGGAATGCTGTATCTTACCTGAAGGCTGAAACCTTATCAGAAAGATCGTTAAACAGAAGGGAATTTGAAAAAACACAACAAAGTTGTAGGTTAGTCGGATAGATATAAAATTAAGTTTTTTTTCTTTTTTCTTTGTTTATTTTTATTTTTTATTTTTTTTTTGTAAAACTGTTATGGAGTGAGTGACCAATCGAATTTTTCATTAAGGAAAAGCCAAAATTTTTAACCTCTGAACTGCAATCTTTAGCCTTGCCACGAATTTTATTTTTATTAACTGTAGAATGATTTAATTTATTTTTGCTATGCTTTGATCCAAAAATTATAATTTTTCGTTTCGAAAGGTCGTTAGTATCAGCCCAATTATACGCTCAAAGACAAACAAAAACCGGACATTCGTGTTTTGTTGTTTATTTCAAACTATATGTATTTTTTATCGTTATGTTAATTACAACGTACTTAATCATCAGTTATTAGAAATGGTTTAAGGTGGAGTGAGTATGGCAATTCACTTTTTGGAAAATATAGTTCTTTTACTTCTGTGAGTAGAACTATCTTTTCCAAAACGTTCTTACTTATTTTAATTTAATTTTACAATTAATTGTCATTCTTCACTAAATAGACACAAACTCATTTGGGTAACTTCTATAAAAATTGAGATATCGTATCCGGATCTACGCGAAAAATTCTTATAAATGATCTAGTTTTGAAATTCGAAATAAAAATTGGGATCTTATTAAAAAAAGTTATGTAGGATATATTTTATGTAAAAAAAAAGAACCAAAAAGTTATTTCTGGAACCGGTGAACTCAAAAAACTAGACTTCATAACGAACAAAAAGCAAAATCTGACTAAAATTTTAGTGTGGTGGTAATCTTTCGTAGGACAGTCTGTGTATATATACATTTTTTTACGAGAGTTGGCAACAGCAGAAATTGTATCAACCCTCGGAGTGCTGATGTTTTTGAAAAAAAGCCCAATTTGTAAGTATGTCGGGCTCGAAGAATGCTGGGCCGCTGGATTCGAACCCGGGACCTTTACCTTACAGTGATGAGCGCCGTTTCAACGCCTAAACCGTTGCGGCCACCGTCGCCCTACATATTTTCCTTAAAATGCATTAAAGCTGTTAATTTGTTATTAATTTTTATACATAAAGGGAAAAACGAGCTTAAAATGCAACCTGTTGTTCATGGCTTTAGTATTAATTGACACTTAACATGTTTTTTCCTATGGTAGCCAGTTAAGTTTTACATTCATTGCGGAGTGGCATTTAAAACAGGTAATTTACACTAAAAAAGTGTGAGGTTTTATCCGAATTTTAAGTTGAATGCAAAATTCCCGCAACGTTCCCACAAAGACACCGCTAAGAATACATTATACATACCTACAAAGAATAAAGACGAACAAATGCATAATTTTGATCCTTCTAACATAGAGTAAAAAAATGGTGGAAAAATTACTTAAATTTGTCAAAATATGAGAAATCGCGTATTATCGTTCCCGTAAATTTGGGCCAAACGCGAAGTTATTTGCTATACTGTTGCTTATAGCGTTTAGTCGTGTTGAAATCGTTTTTAAAAGTTTTTAAATTTATTTTTTAAAGTCTAATTTAAGTGCTTAGTGGGTGTTGGTTTGCGAGTCGGGGAATACAAGTTAAACTGGGTCCGTCTACACTCGCGGGTTTTTGATGTTTTTAATTACGTTGAGAGTAGTTCCTCCCTGGAGATGGCGAAAATCCGAAATCGGTTTGAGCAACATCAAAACCCGCGTAAGTAGACGGTTCCAGTGCCAGTTAAACATTTTTAAGAATTTGTAGGTTTTTCAGTAAATCAGGAAACATCTCTATGCCACAATAAACTAAAAATAATAACTTCAATCATAAATATAAATTTTGATTATAAAAACAAGCCCATAAGCTTGTCCAACTTTTTTTGTTTTACCTAAAATGCCTAAAAAAATACGTAATACTTAAGAAAAGAAAAAAAAAGAAAAGTTGCCAGTTTCTACTACAATCCAGATGAAAAATTCTTTACAAAAAGAAAATCAAGAAATATAACCTTTATTTTAAATTCTAAACTTGATGTATAGTGTTAAATTTAAAAATCTTTTAATTTCTTTTCATCTAAATTTCTTCCAAATACACATTTTTGTTTAATTTTATCACATATAATATCAGATTATCATTAGCTCTAGTAGTGCGTATTGTAGTAATCTTTTTTTTATTAAAAAAATAGAAATACAATTAAGAAATATAAAGATAACCAAAGCTGTGTTTTTCATTAACAAAAAAGTAATAAAAAAGCTATTTCTATGTGATAATTAAACATTGATATAAATTAATGTGTTTTAAAATAAAATATCTCCATTTGAATGTACAATGTAGCAGTTGAAACCACTATTAACAGATTTATGACTTTATTTTAATAATAACTGTCAACATTAATAAATTTTTATAATATAATGATAAAATATTTATATTATGAGATTATAATTATACAGATGTATCGGTAATTTGGTGTAATGAGAAAGTTAAAATTTTTGTTTTACTAAAAGTTTTGTGTTATTATTAGCATACACGTGTCTGATAAGATCTTATGTGTGCCATTGAACACTATCAAGTAGGTTAAGTCTATTTCATTATTCAGTATAATTTTAACTTATGAATCAAGAAAATAGTCTAAAACATTGTTAAGTTTTAGTGCAAAGAAATCTTTACAAAAAATAAGTTAGTATGTAAATGACAGAGTTCGATACATAAGTGCATTACATCACCGAATTTCTGGAGATTATCTCACGTGATTCATTTTTTTTAAATTACTGATTATAGTTATCATTCCTTGTCTAAATAATCAGTGTTGGTCAATTAAATATTGCAAAAAAAACACAATGAAGACGGGAAAAAATTAGTGACATGAGATCTTGTGAGCTTTGATTACGATTGTTAAAAAAATCCCTATAAAAAATAAGTTCTATTATTTTAATTTGTTGGTGTTCAATTGATGCAAAATCAATTTTTAAAATTATTGCATTTCTAGAATGCTTGTACAACCCAGAATGTCCACTCTGGACATTACAACAAGAATATCTTGGTTGTTACATAATAAGTCAGAATTATGCCTAAGCCTAAACAAAGTTACAGGACTTACTTTCTCTTGGTGGGAGGGGTGAAGTCTAGGTGTTGGAATGCAGTTCATTCAGGAACTAAATTACTTCTTACATTTCGACAGTTGAGCCGACACATTTTCCCCTTGTAATTGTGGAAGTTTAAGTAATTTAAACAAGATTTAATTAATTATTTACAATTTACCACTTAAGTTTAAGTGTTTTGATTTAATTTATTAATGTTAAGAATTGTTTAAAAAAATACTTCAAACATAGCTGTTTTTATTGAAAGAAAGGCTGATGTATAGATTTCACAAATATTTATTATTATTAATATTTTATGTGTATTTATATTAATATTTATAAACTTTTTTTTGAGAAAAACTAAACATAAATAAATAAATAAAATGAAAATAAAAATTACAATTAAACAACGCTTTGATTTTGTCTTTGACATTGTAGGAAAGTTGTTCTTTTTTTTTACAAATTATTTTTTCCAATAAGTTTAGAGCAGTTGTGATTTTTTGTTTGTTTGTTTACTTATTAGGAATTTTTTGTTGTTTTCAGATTGAAAAATGTCCGCAAAAGCTATAAGAGAGGCAACTGGGAAAGATCTCCTAAACCGGCACTTGTCCTCGTCTTCACTTGCAAAATGCAGGTTTGCGACTGTCACAGAAAGCACCAATTGGTCAGATCTTCTGAATGAACATCCTTGGCTGAAAACTCAGGTATGCGAAAATTGCCTTTTTTAACATGTTGAGTGATGATAAAAATTAATTTTTCTGTTTGTTCGCTGTTTTTTTAGCCCCTGGTTGTAAAACCTGATCAATTGATTAAACGAAGGGGGAAGCTTGGCCTAATCAAGGTCAAAACAGATTTTGCTGGTGTACAAGAATGGGTAACTGCTCGAATGGGAAAGGATCAAGAGGTACTAAAAATAATAATTGCTATTGTTAATAAAAATTACTCTTATGGTTAAAAAACATTAAAATTCCAACATAACATAGCTTTTGTTTCTATCTATTGATCTTACGACCTCTAATAAATCACTCTAGACAGACAGAAGAATCCAGAAATACCTCCTCCGTCAAACAGAGGATCATGGGTCAAGTCTGACCGAGAAAAATATATTTGCTCGACATCTAGAAACCTTCACCCATCGTCATGAGCTTGAAAATGTTTCAGTCAAAACAGATGATGAGTACCATATCTCCCCTCCCTATGATTCTCTCTGAAAGCTGTCATTCTCGCTGAGGTCAAATATATCCTGTCTCGGCTATCGAACAGCAAAGCTCCTGGCTTAAACCTAATTACATCCAAAATTCTCCAACAACTCCCTCAAAAAGCTCTTGTATTCCTGACATACCTCTACAATTGTATATTTTGCACCATTCGTTTTTCCCTACTCTGGAAATATTCGAACATCATCCTCTTACAGAAACCTGGGAAACCAGTTAAAAAAGCCTGATCATATCATCCGATTAGTTCACATCCCGTCATGTCCAAAGTATTTGAATGTTTTTTTTTAAATCAGCCGAAGGTCGTGGGTTCGAATCCCGTTGGGGACACTGACTTTTTTATCTCAACTAAAAAACCTTAATTAATTGAAAGATATTAATTGGTCAAGCGGACCACGAAAACTACTGAATTTTTTTTAAAAGACTTTGCTAAAATTAAAGTCCTCTAATTTTATCACATTGTCAGTTTAGCTTTTGCTCCCATCATATTCCTCAGCCCAGCAAGTGTTTCACATTACAGATTCCTCCCTTGAGTGCGATATTGTATGGGAGCCTTTCTTGTTGAAGCATAAGTGTTTGACCACATATGGCCAGGGATCTCCTCTACAAACTAAAGCATGTTCTTCCAAATTGGAACATCCTCTACTTAATCTTCCGCTCTTATCTAACAGAATTGTTCTTTCCGATCTGACAAGTGTCAGATTACTCTGAATACTGCTTTCTGGTCGCAGGAGTACTGCAGGACTCATGCTTAATTAGAAATTGGCATGGAATTGGCACATTTGACTGAAACAACAAGACCTAAATAGAGGCTAAATTAATTCCTCAAAAATTGACCACAATAATCTCTTCCATCACCCCAATAGTCTTGCCCAAAACTTATCCAACAGAACCCATCCCTACAATCCCATAAGTCATCTCAAGAGGAGCCAGGAAAATAGAACAGAGTAGAATACATCCCCTCTATATATAATCACTGTAAAAATACAGAATTTTTTTATTCTATTCTATATTTTATAAATTACATTTACAACAAGAAATTGCAGGTTATAATAAAATACTGAAAAAAAATAAAAAATTTTAATCAACCTATCTTTCAGGTTGGAAAGGCAAAAGGAAAACTAAGGAATTTTATTATTGAACCATTCATTCCACATGAAGCGGTAAAATATATATTTTTTATATTTTCTTACATTATTGGTTAACTTATTGCACGATTTTAGAAAGAAGAGGCTTATGTCTGTATATATTCACACAGACATGCAGATACAATTTTATTCCATCATGAGGGAGGAGTTGATATCGGAGACGTTGATGCTAAGGCTTTGAAATTGGATGTGCCTGTTGACAAGACTCTTTCCTTGGATGACATAGTCAAAAACCTTCTAACTAACATGCCTGAGAGCAAACGACCGTAAGTATATTTGTCTTTTTTTCTTTTGTTTTAATGTTTGAAGAGAATTTACAATGGTTGGGGGGGGGTTTCTTTAGCAATTATTAATAATAGATTAATTTCAGGATGTTAGCAAACTTCATATCATCTTTATACAAAACATATGTCGACCTGTATTTTACCTATCTAGAGGTCAATCCTTTGGTTGTGACAAATGATTCGATTTATATTTTGGACTTAGCTGCGAAACTCGATGTGACGGCAGACTTTGTGTGTCGGCAGTTGTGGGGTGAAATCGAGTATCCACCTCCTTTTGGAAGGGATGCTTTCCCAGAAGAGGCTTATATCGCAGACCTTGATGCCAAAAGTGGTGCCTCCTTAAAGGTAAGCCAGTTTGTACATCGGCAAACTATTGACTATTAATTTTTTTTTTCATCTCATAGTTGACAATTTTAAACAAATCAGGACGGATATGGACAATGGTTGCTGGGGGTGGTGCGTCTGTGATTTACAGCGATACGATCTGTGATTATGGGGGTGCTTCTGAGCTTGCTAACTACGGAGAGTATTCTGGAGCACCTTCGGAACAGCAAACTTATGAATATGCCAAAACTATTTTATCATTAATGACTGCTGAAAAACACCCACAGGGAAAGGTAAGTTCCTTCAATTTTCCAAGCAGAAAAATAACATTACAATATGAGTGTATTTCAGGTACTTATTACTGGAGGAGGTATTGCTAACTTCACTAACGTCGCAGCTACCTTCAAGGGTATCGTGACAGCACTCACGGAATTCCAAGGCAAGCTTCTTGAGCACAATATCTCAATTTACGTTAGGAGAGCTGGTCCCAATTACCAAGAAGGGCTAAGGTAATAAAGACTATTAAAACAATAAAATACAAATAAAAATGAATTTTTGCAATTTGAAAATCAGTAAATGAAGCTCGTGTTTATAACATATTAAATAGGCCAACTTTTATTATTTTTTTAAGGATAATTCGTGATGTTGGAAAATCACTTCGTATTCCTATTTATGTGTTTGGACCTGAGACGCACATGACTGCAATTGTAGGCATGGCATTAGGCAAGAAACCGATTCAGAAAGAGGCTGAGATGGAGTTTTCTACTGCAAATTTTCTTCTTCCTGGTGGCCAGAACCAGAGAGCTCCTTCACCGCATAAACATCTTGAAAAGTCCGAATATACAGATATGGTTGATGGGAGTGAGACGTTGAAGACTTACAAGCCACTTTTTTCATCAGAAAGTAAGGCCATCATCTGGGGCATGCAGACGAGAGCAGTTCAGGTAATTATTTAATGATATTTTCATCATAATTGAAAATATATATGAACAAATTGATTTTCTTTTTTCAGAGTATGTTAGATTTTGATTTTGTATGTCGAAGAGAGGAGCCTTCTGTTTCATGTTTAGTATACCCTTTTACTGGAGATCATAAACTAAAATTTTACTGGGGCCACAAAGAAGTCCTCATCCCTGGTAATTAAAAAACAAAATTGTTTTAATATTGAAAATGTAAAATTTTCTTTCTTACTCTAGTCTATAAAAGAATGGACGATGCTATGGCAAAACACCCAAAAGCTGATGTACTTATTAATTTCGCTTCACTGAGATCTGCTTATGAAAGCACTCTTGAAACGCTTAATTTCCCACAAGTAAGTAATTTTATTTAACAGTAATTTCGTTTTGCTGAACAACGCTGAATTTCTGTATAATTTTGCAGATTAAAGTAATTGCGATAATAGCCGAAGGAATTCCGGAGAACATGACGCGTAAACTGATTCTGAAAGCGAACCAAAAAGGCGTTTCGATTATTGGCCCTGCGACAGTAGGTGGTATCAAGCCAGGCTGTCTTAAAATCGGTAACACCGGAGGAATGATGGACAACATTCTCCACTCAAAATTATACCGACCAGGAAGCGTAGCATATGTCTCTCGTTCTGGAGGAATGTCAAACGAATTGAACAATATTATTTCCAAAGCGACAAATGGTGTCTATGAAGGTGTAGCTATTGGAGGGGACAGGTACCCGGGCACAACATTTATGGATCACATCATGAGATACCAAGCAGATCCAGCTGTAAGTAGTACAATTTTTTTATGAATGCAGATTTATTTTGTTATTATTTGGTTTTAGGTTAAAATGATTGTTTTACTTGGTGAAGTTGGTGGTGTTGAGGAATACGATGTTTGTGAAGCGATAAGAAATAGAAAACTGACAAAACCTTTAGTTGCGTGGTGCATTGGCACATGTGCTTGTAAGTTATATTTATTATTTTGTTTTTACTTTTGTTAAAACAGAACATAAATGTTTTCTTATATTCCAGCCATGTTTACATCAGAAGTGCAGTTTGGACATGCAGGATCTTGTGCCAACTCTGAACGGGAAACCGCACTCGCTAAAAATTCTGCTCTAAGAGCCGCCGGGGCAAAAGTACCCGAATCATTTGACTATTTAGGAGAAACAATTCAAGAAGTTTATTCTACCCTCGTCAAGAATGGAACAATCGTTCCGACACCAGAACTCCCTCCACCGACCGTCCCGATGGATTACTCATGGGCGAGGGTAAGGAAGTATTAATAATACATAAATAATGTAAAAACATAATACTTACAATAATTTCACTAATTTCGTGGTCCGCTTGACCAATTAATATATTACAATTAATTAAGGTTTTTAGTTAAGATAAAAAAGTCAGTGTCACGAGCGGGATTCGAACCCACAATCTTTGGCTAGATACGCCGCTGCTCTACCACTTGAGCCATCGTGACCTCGATCCGTTCGGACATTAATTTCCCATCTCAACCCCACCTTTTTGAATTTTCCCTCGGCCACGGAGAGCTTTAGTGAAGTATACTTCATTTTAATTAATTAAATTCACTAATTTCGTGGTCCGCTTAATCAATTAATATATTACAATTAATTAAGGTTTTTATCTCAACTAAAAATCTTAATTAATTGTAATATTTTAATTGGTCAAGCGGACCACGAAATTAGTGAATTTAATGAATTAAAATGAAGTATACTTCACTAAAGCTCTCTTTAGCCATTTCATTTGTCGCCGAGAATCCAATCCGATTACACGACATTTGAAAAATGGCAAAAAGGAGGGAAAATTCGAAAGGTGGGGTTAAGATGGGAAGTTGGTGTCAAAGTGGATCAAAGTCACGATAGCTAAAGTGGTAGGGCAGCGGCGTATCAAGCCGAAGGTCGTGGGTTCGAATCCCGCTCATGCCATTGACTTTTTTATCTCAACTAAAAACCTTAATTAATTGTAACTTACAATAATAATCATTAATTAATTTTAATTTTTATAGGAATTGGGCCTTATTCGCAAACCAGCTTCGTTCATGACTAGTATTTGTGATGAAAGAGGACAGGAGCTTTTATACGCAGGAATGCCTATTAGCGATGTGCGTCTTACACATTTACAAATCAAAATAGAAATACATTCAACCATTTATTAATTTATTATAGGTTCTGAAACAAAACATGGGAATTGGTGGTGTAGTCTCGCTCCTTTGGTTTCAACGGTCTTTGCCGCAGTATGTGTGCAAGTTTTTTGAAATGTGTCTGATGGTTACTGCAGACCATGGCCCGGCTGTTTCTGGAGCGCACAACACAATCGTCTGTGCAAGAGCAGGAAAGGACTTGGTGTCTTCTGTCGTCTCTGGTCTCCTCACAATTGTAATATTTTATTCAATTATGATATTATATGTGATAAAATAACAAAAATAACAATCGGGGTTTTCAGGGTGAACGATTCGGAGGTGCGTTGGATGGTGCTGCTAAGCAATTCTCAGAGGCATATGACAGCGGACTCATCCCTATGGAATTTGTTAATTCGATGAGGAAGAAGGGCCAACTGATCATGGGTATTGGACATAGAGTGAAATCGGTAAGTCAAAAAATATAAATAAATTTAAAACAAAAAGAAAATGTGAAACCCTTCTTAACATGCAAAAAAAAAGAAAAAAAGTTGGGGGCCGTGGTAGCTGAGTGGTGAGAGAGTCTCGATCTCGGGTTCGATTCCCCGTCACCTCTTCTGCCCTTTTTTTTCACGATACCTTCCCCCCAAAACGAATACGCATGACATATTGCCTTGTATTGGCTAATATGCATGGTACATAAGGCCATAAGTTCTATGCATTTTTAAACCCTTCTGTAACAGAACCTCTCCATACCGTTGCATTTACTGCCGTCAGTCCTCATTAAAGGATTCGCTCTTGAATGGATGTAAACATTAAATAAATATATGAAAAATTATTTGTAGGATAATTTAAAATTTTTTACTCATTTTAGGAAAGTAGACTAGGTATAGTATGTAATCCTTACCTAGATATCTTGTTCTGCATTCACTTTATTTCATGTTTTAGTAATCCTTTTTTGGAAAAAAAATTTAGGGAGGAAGAAATTGTTCATGTATTTGATGGGTTATTATCATTTTTTTGTTTCTTATTTTTTCTGGAAAATATTTTGTTTTTATACATTCTGTTTCTTGTTCAAAAGCTTCCCATTCAAGGAGAAACCAGAATTTCTTGCCTCTATGCTCTAACATGGTTGACTCTGTGACCCTATTTGTTTGATCTGTTATTGGCCAAATGGTCACATCTTGGATCTCAAGTCTCAACCCCGCTTTATGTGGCTTGTGTATAACCAAAAGAGCTATTTTGTATGCTTTAAGCTGGGAACACACTTACCCGATGTAATACTACATGACGCTACCCAGTGCTGCTTGACGCCTTGTCGCTTTTGGTAGTGTGCACATCTATGTGACGTCAAGCGTATGCCACGTAGTCACACAGCGTTTATCACAATAATCAGTATCACAATTACAATGGCTCTTTTGATCTTAATGCACTATTTTGAGCAAAACCTTGTAATACATTTTTAGTTAAATTGAATTATTTTAAATAAAGTTATTCCAGTGTTTCTATAAATTGTCTGCCTAACCATCATAATTAAATAATTCTGATAAAAACTAATGAATTTTTGACCTCCTTTAATTTGGTTTATATTAAAATAAGCATGTTGTAATTAATATAACGTGTGGTGATTAGTGACAGTTAGTTGATGATTATTCAGAAATCGTGAGATGCGGTCTGGTGTGACATAGGTTTCAGAAAAACATTTTCTTTATCGTGCCAATGTTTAGACCTTTATTCGGATCATCTTCAGAGCCTGGGTGAATTACAAAACTTATGTTCGTTGGAAAAAAAATAATGTGTGGTCTTTAGTGACCGTGAATTAATGATTATTTGGAGATCATGAGATGCGGTCTGGTGTGATGTAAATTTTAGAAAAATATATTCTTTATCGTGCCACGTTTCAAGCTTTATTGAGATCATCTTCAGAGCCTGGAATTAACAAACATTGTTTAAATTTAACAAATACATGTAGGATGTGGAAAATTGAATTTATACAATGCAAAAAATATATTTTTTATATTCAGTCAAGTATTTCTACTCACTCAAAGTGTTTGTCTTCTGTGTAATTGTGCCATGTGCCAACGTTGTTGAGATTAGTGGTAAAAATGGACTATTTTTAAAATTTTTGTAGAATAACTGATTTATTTTTTAATTTTGGAGGAAAGAGTTAGTTTTTAATAATATAGAATTAAAAATTTCACAATGACCTAAACTTCACGAGTATTCTATATCTTTTCTTGGAAAATCACGATATATTTAGTAATTTAAACTTTTTTTTTGTATAAAATTCATAATATAAAAAAGTGTACATTAATTTAATGCTTTCAGTTATCGGGTTTATGGTCAAGTTAAAATTAGTAATTAGTAAGGTCATGGTTGAGATAGGAAAGTCGATGTTAGGAGCGGGATTCGAACCCACGACCTTCAGCTAAATAAGCCGCTGCTCTACCACTTGAGCTATCGTGACTTCGATCCTCTCGGACACCAACTCTCCATCACAACTTACAACCGTTCGAATTTTCCCGCTCTTTGCCATTTTCAAAGTCAAAGGTTCACCTCATAAGTCTCTGAGAATTCAATCTTGATTACACGACATTTGAAAATGGCAAAACCTTCCAACAGAGTGAAATTTTGCGTTGGATATTAAGTAAGAACGTCACCTAACTGGCCTGTTATCTTTTTGGAGTGAAATTCTATTGTGATAAAAAAAGGCATGTTTTTATATTGTTACTTGTAACTCATTATTTGGAGATCGTGAGATGCGGTCTGGTGTGATGTAGGTTTCAAAAAAACATTTTCTTTATCGTGCCAACGTTTCGATCTTTATTGAGATCATCTTCAGGCCCTGGGATTTATAAACATTGTTTAAATTTTACAAATACATGTAGGATGTAAAAACCAATTTATACAAAGCTAGAAATTTTAGATTCAATCAAAGTCTTGGTAATCACTCAAAGTGTTTTTTTTTTCTGTGTAGATATGTCATTATTGTGTGTCGTGTTGAGAGTGCCAGTGAGATATTGTTGTTTTATGTTTATATCCGTTGGATTTTGAAGGAGTGGGGAAGGATGTCGGTATAGAAAAGACATTTTTGTATAAGGCGTCGGCTTCTTTGAGGTGAAAAGAGCCGTCGAACCGAAAAAACGTTGGTAATAGTTCGGCCAGATTATCCTTTCATGATTATATAGATGGGGATAAATAGGAAAAGGAAAGCTAAATTGTTGAAATTGATTGTTACGGAGGATATTACTACCCTAAACGCATAATAAACAGAATAATCAACAACTACAACTCAACACTAACGCCATCTACTATTACTAATAATACTACATCAAATCTATCAAATACAAACAAACCAACATACATTTCCATGCCATTCGTTCACCGCCTATCACATAAATTAAACACATTTCTCTCGTCCGATAACTTTAAAATAGCTTTCAAAAATTATAAAACAATTCAAACAATTTTTTCCAAAATTAAGATCCCACACCTATAACAAATAAATATGACGTAATGTACAAAATCAATTGTTTAAATTGTCCGGCAACTTGCATCGGTCTTACATCCTAATATCTGGACAAGAGAGTAAAGCAACATATCTATGATTGCAAAAAACCCAAGCAAAATCCTACAGCACTCGCTACCCACCATTTTGAACACAAACATAATTTCAACTTCAACAATCCAAAAATATTACACACAGAACAAAACAAACGTAAACGTAACTTTTTAGAAATAGTTTACATCAACAAGGATAAACACAGCATCAATTACAGAACATACATGTAAACTCAGTCGCAGCTACGCCAATATCATTAATCAAATTCAATATCAATAACGTACATATATCATCATCACATCACACAAAACGTATAAAATAACATAAAACATTCATCACATTCCATACATCAAACATTTTTACATAGTACAATTTTTCAACAATTTAGCTTTCCTTTTCCTATTTATCCCCGTCTATATAATCCTGAAAGGATAATCTGGCCGAACTATTACCGAAGTTTTTCCCCATCGTCGACTCTTTTCACCTCAAAGAAGCCGACTCCTTATACAAAAATGTCTTTCTATCCCAACTTCCCTCCCCACCCATTCAAAATCCAACATATATAAACATAAAACAGCAATATCTCACTGGCACTCTCAACACGACACACAATAATGACAAATCTACACGGAAAACAAACATTTTGAGTGAGTAGAAATACTTTGATTGAACATAAAAAATATATTTTTTGCATTGTATAAATTCACTTTTTTCTACATCCTACATGTATTTGTTAAATTTAAGCAGCGTTTGTAAATCCCGGGCCCTGAAGATGATCTCAATAAAGATCGAAACGTCGTTGGCACGATAAAGAAAATGTTTTTCTGAAACCTACATCACACCAGACCGCATCTCACGATTTCTGAATAATCAATTAATATAACGACAAAATTACATATACATAGTTCGATATAAACTAAAAAAATATGAGTGTCCTTTGTTAGTTAAATTTTATGACAAAACCATATAATAAATTGTTAGTTACATTTTATGAGCAAAACCATGAAATAAATTGTTAGTTAAATTTTATGAGCAAAATCATTTAATAAATTTTAATTAATTTTTATGAGCAAATCCATGTAATAAATTGTTAATTTCATTCTCTCAGTAAATGGTATTCTGGTGATTTGACCAATTTTCTATCAAACCATTAAAATTAATTTTTAAAAATAAAAACTAATGAAATTATGATTGCGCTTAATTTGGTTTATATTAAAATAAGTATGTTGTATTGGGTTGTCCGGAAAATAATGCAGGATTTTGGTATTAAAAAAAAAAAAGAAACTAGTTACTTTAAAGCAATGTTCTTTAATCAAAATAATTTCCCATACTCTCAATACATTTCTCCCAACGTGTTGGTAACTTATTAATTCCGTCTGAGTAGAATTCAGAATTTTTAGAATTGATAAAGTCAATAAATGCATTTTCCAGTTCCGTTTGATTTTTGAATATTATGTGTTGTAAGTAGTGGTCCAGGTGTCTAAAAAAATGGTAGTCAGTAGGCGAGAGGTCCGGAGAGTAGGGTGGGTGAGGCAAAGTTTCATAGCCAAGCTCCAATAATTTTTGTGACGTTACACGTGACACATGTGGTCGAGCGTTGTCATGCAACAAAATGGGCCCTTTCCGATTGACCAAAGAGGGCTTCATTACTGCCAATTTCTGATGCATGGTATTAATTTGGTTACAGTATGATTCAGCATTGATGGTTTCGCCAGGATTTAAGAAGCTGTAGTGTATTAAACCAAATGAAGCCCACCATACCGTAACCATTACCTTTTTTTGATGAGTTGGGGGCTTTGGAAAATGTATTGGAGCTTCTCCTTTGTCGAGCCACTGTCCAGAACGTCTAGTGTTATCGTAGAGAATCCACTTTTCGTCACATGTAACAATTCTGGCCAGAAATGGGTCATTTTTGTTTCGACAAAGAAGTGATGCACAAACATCAAAGCGCTGATTTTTTTGGCGATCGTTTAATGAGTGTGGAACCCAATTTTCGAGTTTTTTCACTTTTCCAATCGCCTTGAGGTGGTCAGCGACGGTCGTTTTACTGACTTTGAGTTGCTCTGCAAGTTCTCGAACAGTTGTTTTGGGGTTTTCTTCCACCACTGATCGCAGAACATCATCATTAAGAGAGGAAGGCCTTCCACGACCTTCTTCATCTTCAAGGCTGAAATCTCCCTCCCGAAATTTTTTAAACCACCTTTGCACAGTGCACTCATTAACACAACCCTCGCCCCAGACTTGGTTAATGTTTCTAGCCGTTTGGGCTCCGCTTCGGCCGAGTTTAAACTCGTAAAAGAAAATCGTACGAAATTCTCGCTTTGACATTATAAGGATGACTGAATTATTTCCAAGTAGCGGAATGCTACAGAGGTAAACAAACAATATCATTTGGAAGAGGATTAATAAGTGTTGACATTCATACAAATGAGTAATCCTGTAAACGTAAACAGAATATTTTATATAGATTTTTTTTAATGAAAACTTAAAATCCTGCATTATTTTCCGGACAACCCAATAGTATATTATTTTGTTGACTCTTATTTGGTCATTCCCGCTTTTGGACCATTTGTTAAGCCAGTTGTTGACACACGGCCGAGCCCGATTGTTGTCCAGTCATTATAGAAATATGTATAAACCATTAAGTGAAACACGATTCAATTAAAATCCACTTGAATTTCCATTGTCCTCGTTCGAAAGAACAACATCAACGGTCAACTCGATGCATCGAGGGAATAAAGGAATTTCCTTTCCAATATTCAGATTCCATTTCTAGTTCGGTATCAAAACACTACATTTCAAAAATTGACAAACAAAAGCGAAATTGTTGAAAGTATTTAATCAGTCAGTAAATGGTTGTGGACAGATAGTGTTCCATGATGAACAATGTGTCCCAGTTCCTTCTGACGAAACTCAGGGAATCGATTCTACTCTTCATTTGGAGCAAAAAATTCCCAGGAGAAAATTTTCAGAAAGTTCTTTATTTTGAAGATATTCGTCAATTTAGGTTTTCTCAACTTTTCACTACCTTACCACATAAAAACGCTTACAACTTCCAAAATGTTGAGACTACAACAAATCCAATTACACCATTTGAAAGAACGCTAAGTTTGCTGTAAGATACTTCTATTTGAAATAATCTGGATGATATAAAATGTTAGCCAGTATCAGTTGGAACATGTCAAAATTACAAAATTTAAAATTTTGGTCNAAACAATATCATTTGGAAGAGGATTAATAAGTGTTGACATTCATACAAATGAGTAATCCTGTAAACGTAAACAGAATATTTTATATAGATTTTTTTTAAGGAAAACTTAAAATCCTGCATTATTTTCCGGACAACCCAATAATTAATATAACGACAATGACACATATAGTTTGAAATAAAATATGAGTGTCCAGTGCTTGATGCTACTTGGCGAAAATCTGGACAGTGGGGATAGCATAGCGTAGACTAGTGTAGTGTTATGGTCATCGGGCAGATATACATTGGGGTAATTCAATCTTACAGAAAATTGGACTTTGGATTTGCATTGGGTAGCGTTGCATCGGGTGTGTTCCCCGCTTGAGTTTTATAAAGGTAAGGAGGACGGAAACTATTAAAGTAATACAGGAGGGCTTAAACGAAAAGGACGTTTTGAAATGAAAAGATTTATATTTATTCCATCATGGCAGCAGGTATGATCCAAAGCGAGGACCATGAGTGGCATCTAAGAATGTCGCAGCAGTCGTAGAACTCCTTCACGCCAATTGTAGCCTCCTACGCCTCATCAATGTCATGCAGTGACATAATGATTTTATAGAACACAACTGCCTGTTTTGTGTCACATGCTAGGACTCAAACTTCTTTGTAATACTTTCTCCATATCACAATTAAAAATCCCATGGCTGGATTCTCAAACCCAGGACTGCCAGTGGCAAATATAAAGTGGACGCTCTAACCATTCAGCCACTGCAGATCCCAAAATATATAAAATATTATGTATAATGTACAGCGTAATATTTATCTTGATTTAAAAATCTCAAACCCTTCCTGAACAGGCATCTCACAAAAATGATCAAAAATATTTTTTTCTTGTGTTTGTTATATGGGGTTTCACAGTAGTCTTCTTTTATATGTATATATTTTAATTCTGATGTTTCATTTGTAGATTAATAATCCAGATATGAGAGTGAAGATCATTAAAGAATTTGTTTTGGAAACTTTCCCATCTACACCTCTACTTAACTATGCTCTTGAGGTGGAGAAGATCACAACTTCGAAAAAGCCCAATCTCATTCTCAATGTCGACGGTGTTATTGCTGTATCGTTTGTAGACCTTTTGAGGCATAGTGGTAGTTTCACAAGGTAATTGTTTAATTTAAAAAAAGATCTTTAATATATAATATAATTATTGTTTTAATTTGTAGGGAGGAAGCGCAAGAGTATATTGAAATGGGAGCAATAAATAGTTTATTTGTTCTGGGAAGAAGTATTGGTTTTATTGGTGAGTAAATTAATTATAATTTTTTGATTAGAGTTATAAAACTCCCCAAGAAAGCAATCGTCAACATCACCTACCTCTTTAATTCACTTTTTCACACCACTTACTTCTCTGTTTCCTGGAAAGACTACCCAAACAACTGACACATTTCCCTACTTCCGAAAGGCCCATTAGAGTAGTCTCAAAATTTGGGAAAACGTAGAGTGATGGAAATTGAGAGAGGTGATTATGTTGATTCACTTTTTGCAGGATGGTTCTTGCTCACAGATTTTGAGTAAGAACTCAGAACCTGTAAGAACCATCTAAAAAAAAAACAATCTCATTCCTGACCAGATTGCATTCTGTAGCTTCCATTGTACCACATAGAAGTTTCATCGCATTGAAGACATCATCTCTTCCTCCCTTTGGAGCATTCCTCGCTTTGATTGGGTTTTGCCATTCAGACATGCTGACCATTACTCTTAAGGCCATTCACGATCGCTCCAAATGGAACTGCGCCAAGCCGTATAGCGGACATTTGGAGTGTCTGAAATTTGAGGGGGCATTCATGACCGCTCCACAGCCAGTCGCTCCGAACGTCATCTAGTGAATTACCTTCTCAAAATGGATGACGATCTCTTGTGCTACGCTGCTGTTTGTTTATATATTAAAAGCAAAAAACCGAATAGGAAATGGTGTAAGAAGTGGCTCCTGAACAGAAGCCGTAATACCCACATCAATTTATGAAAGAACTTTCCCTTGAACCCGCTGATTGGAGGAACTATTTAAAGATGGATGAAACGTCTTATATTTAGTGTTCTATTGACAAAATTACTTCTTTCAATTAATCTTTTTTTGTAAGGTTTTGGTTGAAATGAAAAGCTAGTGCCACGAGCGGGATTTGAATCCATAACCTTTGGATAAATACGCCGCTGCTCTACCACTTGAGCTATTGTGACTTCGATCTCTCGGACACCAAAAAATGGCGAAAAGAGGGAAAATTGGAAAGATAGATTGAGATGAGAAGTTGGTGTTCGAGTGGATCGAACTATCGAAGTCACGATAGCTCAAGTGGTAGAGCAGCGGCGTATTTAGCCGAATGTCGTGGATTCGAATCCCCTCGTGACACTAGCTTTTCATTTCAACCAAAACCTTACAAAAGAAAGGTTAACGTCTTATTTATATTTACGCCAGCTTGTTACTCTCTTGATTAGAAAACATAAGACAGTCATGAGAGAAATCATCACTCTACATGAAAGGTTGGCAGCCACATTACGTTCTCTAAGTTCACTTAAGTTCTCTACTACGATTTCTGCTCAGCGCTCAGGGGTTATCAATACTGCATCTCTCGTTGCATTTGTATCCTTGATTTTGAAAAGGTCGACCAACGGGTTGAGAACCAAATTTCTTTTATTTCTATCGTGGTAATCATTGCCCACCACTTTCCATAATATGGTAAACTTTCATACAATTCAATCACCTCAACAATAAAATCTCGATTGGATGTCATTGCCAATAAAGAATAAACGTTTTCGACTTTTTGAGAATGTACGACGGAGATGTTTGCTACTACGATTACCTGATCCTAGCTACCTTGACCAGTATTTTCGAGTTAGCGAGGGAGCTGCTTTTCCATATACCATCTTATCGAAACTGGTATCCTAGTCCCTGTCTTTTATCAGATATCCTTATTACCATACCATATCAGACCTACGGGTAGCTTCTCTCTATTTTTTTTTCTCTTTCACTCATATATATAATGTGGCAAGTTTATAGGCTGACCAACAGGAGAGGTCATTGCCAATGCTCTGCACGTTGTACTTCTTTTTGTAGTCTTATACGTATATTTTTTAAACTTCAGCCAATTGAGTGTCTTGATCTTACTGACTCTCCGCTTTTGTATGAAAATAAGTCAATATCCTAAAATGCTAGCCTCCCATTTGCACCTTAGGTTGTCAACTACAGAACAAACACAAAACATACAATAAATATATGTACATCACCACCTTATACAAACATCTGGTCACATTCACTACCACAGAGTACTCAATAATTATTCAGAAATCGTGAGATGCAGTCTGGTGTGATAGGTTTCAGAAAAACATTTTCTTTATCGTGCCAACGTATTGATCTTTATTGAGATCATCTTCAGGGCCTGGGATTTACAAACATTGTTTGCATTTAACAAATACATTTAGGATGTGGAAAAGTTTATACAATGCAAAATATATTTTTTATATTCAATCAAAGTATTTCTACTCATTCAAAGTGTTTGTCTTCTGTATAATTGTGCCATTCTTGTGTGTTGTGTTGAGAGTACCAGTGAGATTTTGCTGTTTTATGCTTATACGAACACAACAACACGACATGCAAGAATGGCACAATTACACAGAAGACAAACACTTTAAGTAGAAATACTTTGATTGAATATAAACAGTATATTTTGCTAAATTCACTAATTTCGTGGTCCGCTTGACCAATTGATACATTACAATTAATTAAGGTTTTTAGTTGAGATAAAAAAGTCAATGGCACGAGCGGGATTCGAACCCACGATCTTCAGCTAGATACGCCGCTGCTCAACCAACCACTTGAGCTATCGTGACCTTGATCGACTCGGACATCAACTTCGTATCTCAGTCCCACCTTTTGAGTTTTCCCTCCTTTTTGCCATTTTTCAAATGTTGTGTAATCGCCATTTGTCGCCGAGAATCCAATCCTATTACACGAAATTTGAAAAATGGCAAAAAGGAGGGAAAATTCAAAAGGTGGGGTTGAGATAGGAAGTTGATGTCCGAGTGGATCAAGGTCACGATAGCTCAAGTGGTTGAGCAGCGGCGTATCTAGCTGAAGATCGTGGGTTCGAATCCCGCTCGTGCCATTGACTTTTTTTATCTCAACTAAAAACCTTAATTAATTGTAATATATTTTGCATTGTATAAATTCACTTTTCCACATCCTAAACGTATTTGTTAAATGTAAACAATGTTTGTAAATCCCAGGCCCTGGAGATGATCTCAATAAAGATCGAAACGTTGGCACGATAAAGAAAATGTTTTTCTGAAACCTACATCACACCAGACCGCATCTCACGATTTCTGAATAATTATCGATTAACGACCACTAATCACCACACACAGAGTACTCAATATTCCTCTGGGGTGGTGTTAAAAATATTTTTCTTTCACACTAATAAATTACATTCATTCAAAAAATTAACATAAATGGAACATCTGATACTAGCATAGATATCAGGACATGTTCTAAAAATAAAGTAGCTTAAACACAAACAGATGCAACAGAAACACAAAACAAACTCTATATACAATTAAAAATCCGTACCTTTGAGTAACTGCCATACTCTAAGACTATGCACAATATATCAAAATATTAATCTACCGTTGAAAATGGAACCTAATTGGTCGTTTTCTGGCCAGAAATTGCCCATAAGTTATTCTTGTATGACCTATGCATAGTCTTTCAATCTTGTTCACTATTGCTTCTTACCAAAATTGTGGATAGTAGTAATATTCAATAAAACTAAAAAACAAAATATTGAAAGTTAATGTGTTTTTTTTATTATTACGTAGGTCATTACATGGATCAGAAGAGGCTGAAGCAGGGTCTGTATCGTCATCCTTGGGACGACATCTCTTATGTTCTACCAGAGCAGTACAACTAAATGGACGAAAGAAAACAATCTAGTGTACATAGTATATCTTTTGTTTTATATATTACATCTTTTGAGGTCTAGATGACTAAAATTGCTTCCAACGGCAGTTAGAAAAAAACCACACACACACAAAAACATACACAAAGGAAAAGTATTTATATGAATATGATGTGAATTTCTCTGGCAAGCGATAGTACGATCATTCCATTGTAATCCGGCTTTATGGTGGTCTGGTTGCATTTTATATTTTCAGAAATGATTTGTATATTTAAGACTAAGATCTGAATGAATGTTAATTATACACATACATGTTGCATACCCTTTCAGAATTTTTTTGTTTGTATAAAATATTTTAAAATCCTTTTTTTTAAATCTAGACTGTTGTGATTGCTGTGTTTATAGTATAAAATAAAATTTATTTTCTATCGTGCAAACAAAATTTCTTTAACTGTGATGGCATGATTAACACTTTTATAAAGGTTAAGTGTATAAGAATTTTAACACTGTGTTTTTTGACTGAAAAACAAAAAATAAATGCAAACAATGTCTTTATTAATGAACTTTCCTTCTTTAAGAAAAAAAGAGCTGGACGTGTCTACTTGCTTAAGAGACAAAAACATCTTATTTTTGTTATCTTTCTTATGCTTAAACACAGTTGAAATAAACAAAAAGGTTCTTGAGTATGTTTTGATTAAATGGAAATTTGAGTGTTTGATTGAATCCTATTACCGACCCATATAAACAAATATTCAGTGTCGACTTCCTTAAGGCACAACGCAGTAAGCTGTGGAATGATTTACAATGGAGAAACAATCTACAGTAGGTTAAAAAAATAAAGACAGGTTATTGAATATTCATGCATCCATCAGAGCACTGAATTGATACTTTGCTCTAAACTTTATGGATATCCCAGTGGATTTTTGTAAAATCTTGTCAATTTTCAGTAGTGGAACTTTGAAGTCCAAATGATTTGGGGAATTATGCTGTGGTTCTTAATGGGATTATTTATCGAGCCTGAAATTATTTATTAGCTTTGTTTAGTATATAGAAGTTTAAAGACAAAATCCTTTCTTTGACCAGCTGGAATAAAACAGCAACATCCATCGTATTGACCCATAGAAAGTCGGGATAAGGAAGTAATAGTCTTAACATATGAAAGCGTCCTTCAAAGCCCTGAATGTATACTTCAAATGGTTTTTCTTAAAGGGGAAAAAATATCTGACTTATTTAGGGGTGTAGGCCTAAAGATTTTTTAATATTTTTTGAGAGGATAAAGTAGTCACCCTGATACACGTCATTTGAAAATTTAGGGCAGGGATTGGCAAAGTATGGCCCAGCCTGCAGCCTTGTTTTAGTTTGGCCTGCGAGTTAATATTGTATTGACAGTAAAAAAATTGAAATTAAATAAATTTTTATTGAATTGTTTGAAAGTTATTTAAAAATGAGGCACACTGACGATGGCGAAATGAGAAACCTAACCAGCAAGGTAGGGAGACAACAACCTAAATGTTCCTAACTACCCGGAAAAAAAAATTATGATTAATTTAGCGAGACACTATGAAAATATATTTTCAAACGTGTACTAAAAATATACCTATTTATTTTTCAACCTGGCCCACCGAACTTAAATACTTAGCTAATAAATAAATTTATTGATCCTTTTTCAAATATTATACTCTTAGCTGTACTTTTACTTTCCTGTTATACTATTTTTGTAAAAAAACTAGTTAATTACCAACTTAAATCTTTTACTGATTATATTTTTAGATATCTTCAGAATATTTATATCATTAGAGATGTTTTCGCTCATTTATGGGTGCAGGTATAGGGATAAAAGAGGTGGCCACAAGGACTTCTTCACCTCGACCTGAGTGGTGGATCACTATTGTGCTCCTGGTTTTCTCCCCCCCCCTTAATTTGTTAATCAACCTCCACAGCCTTGCAAATTGGCTCCTTAGTGTAGGATCTTGCTTGCCGCTTTTATTCTCCTTTTTGTAGTAATCTGCACCTGCATAGACCTTCACAAAACGTGTTCTGCAGTCTCCTCTTCTTCCTGGCAGTATCTGCACAGTAATTCTTCTGTCTATATCCCTATCCAGTGCCTGCTTAGGTAGCAGTGTCCTGTCAAGAGTCCAACCAGAGTCCTGGTTCTGATGCGGGTGCCCTCCAGTAATTCCTTTGTAAGTCTTGCGGATGGCCTTTCTTTGAATCTGCATGCCTCATGCTTGCGGTATTGTTCTACCAGGTTTTCCACTCATTGAGGACCCGTTTATGGATATGTCATTTTTTTGTGACAAGATGCAACACCACAGCAGGGTTCTGGGCCTAGAGAATCCATACTGGCTGGTTTTTTGGCCAATACTTCCACCTACTCATTGCCTCTATGTGCCAAATGCCCAGGGACCCATGCCCTAGTCATTGATGTCACTGATTTCTGCCAGGATTTCAATATAATTTTTTGCCTTCACCTCGCACTGTCAGAGAAAAGGCCTTCTCCAGGGAATGTGTTCCTAGCCTTTTTATTTCTCAGGTGCAGTGTTCAATTGCTATGATTTCAGACTGAAAAATGTATCCTGTTTATCTAAGTTTAAAGTCAGTTCGGTCTTTGGATTCATCCCTAAGACTTAAGCCCTCGTGTCTTTATCAGTTTTTGAGCCGCTACTATACCAGTAGGAATTGACCTTTAGCGCTGTTCCTTTGGCCCACTCTTCCTATTCTGGTATAAAGTACCTTGTACTTGTCAGTGAGTTGTATTTTGGAATCTACACTATAAAGCCAAATTTAACAATTCTGATAATGTATCCATGTGCTTTATTTTATTTATTGTTTTACTTGTTTCTTATGTGTATTATTAAATGAGAAAAATTAGGATAAATTTGAACAGAAATCATAAATATATAAGAGATAATTTTAATTTGTTGCTTTTTCAAAGTGTAATCGCACAATGTGTAGAAAGGTCGTTTGTATTGGGTTGTCCGGAAAATAATGCAGGATTTTGGTATTAAAAAAAAAAAAGAAACTAGTTACTTTAAAGCAATGTTCTTTAATCAAAATAATTTCCCATACTCTCAATACATTTCTCCCAACGTGTTGGTAACTTATTAATTCCGTCTGAGTAGAATTCAGAATTTTTAGAATTGATAAAGTCAATAAATGCATTTTCCAGT